CGCACAGACCGCGTCCCCGCCCCCTGGTCCTCTGCGCGCCCGGCCCCCGCAGCCGAGCCGGGCGTGCCCCTTGTGGGTGGTCCAGAGTTTGGTCCTGAAGCCCTCCGAGCCGAGCTGTGGATCTGGGGACCAGGGGATGGGGCGTGCTAGCGCCGGAGTTTGGGGTCCGGGTGGGCGAGACGTGGGGGGCGACTCTGCCCTCTTGGCCGCGCGTCTGCTTTGTTCGCCCAGCAGCGGCTCCCGGGGCTAGGGCGGCGGTGGGCTGGGAGGGGGCCGCGGCGGAGCCCTGCTCAGCACCGGGCCGAGAGGGTCTCGGAGGGGGCACGGCCAGCAGGGGGCTGCCATGCCTGCAGGGGTTGCTGGCCTGGGCAAGGCCCAGGGTAGCACACATCTGGGAGGGCAGGTGTGTACGGAATGACCCCCCGCAGCCGATCAGCTGTCCGGGACTCTGGTGGTTGAGACCCTCCCGTAGTGAGAGGAAACCCAGGAACCCCTCTCAAGCCCTTCAGGAATGTTTGTGGGCGCCATCCGCATCGGAACTTGGATGCAAACTGCACGACTCCTGAACCCGCCTACCTGGCCTGGCCTCAGGGGCATCCTTGGTTTCCTGGGGATCCCATCCCTTGGAGCCACTCCCTGAACTCGCTGGGGATCCCCCAGCGGCACCAGCGGCCTCCTCTGAGACCCAAAGTGCTGGCCCGGGAGGTGCTCGGAAGCAGTGGGTCCGTCGCCGCTGTTTGCAAGCTGAGTACCGCAGGTGCGTTCCAGACAGCTGCCCGGGGGCCCTTCGTGCGACTGGCAGGCACGGCCAGACACACCCAGGGGCTAGAGGGTGGGTTTTCTTTGTTTTGTCATTTGTGGGCGGGATCCAGCTTTCCGCCCTCCCGCCCCCGCCCCCCCAGGCTAACAGTCCCCGGACCTCCGCTCCCACCCTGCACAGCCCAGTGGCAGCTCTGTGGGGGTGTGAAGGGGACCATTTAGAGAGCAAGGGCTGTGAGATGTGGGCACAGCAGCCTCCCATGAGCCTGTGTCCACTTCTGTCAGAAGAGACAGCCCCTCCCCTGCAGGCCTGTGGGAGAGGACCTTGAGGGCTCTTCAGTGACTGAGTCTCCCTCGCTGGAAGACTCTGCCCCTGCCTCAGTGCACAAGCCTGTACCTGTCAGGTGTTGTTCTGTGCAGGCACTGTGGGGGGGGGGCTGGGGCCACACTCAGGACTCACGCCCGTCACCCCGTAGCCATTTCCTGCCTGCACAGTGGGCTGGCAAGCCCCATGCCATGGGCTCTCATGAAGTCACGTGTGGATGGCTGTGACTGTCATTCTCACAGGTCACTAACACATTACTTTGGAGCATGTGAAGCACACACAGAAGTAAGGAAAGCAGCATGGTAAAGCCCCAAGAGCCACCTCCCACCTGCTTAACCAGACCCCCCCCCACCCCTCCCTCAGTAGTAATTTGTAGGAAATCTAGACATATTTCACCCATAATTATTTCTGAAATTATCTCTAAAAGATAAGGTTCTTATAGAGCGTAATCAAAATCTCATTTTTGCACCTAAACAAATTAACAATAATTTCTTAATGATCAAAATGTACAGACACGAAGATGAGAAGTGTGTGTGTGTGGGTGTGGCGGAGAGTGTGCTTCTTGAAGGGTCCCAGTTGTTGCCTCTGGAAAACCAGAGTTCCAGTCCCCCTTCCCCAGAGAGGCTGAGCCTGGCTGAGGCCACCCAGCAGCTTCCACATGTTTGGGGGAGGAGCCCTGAATCCAGGATAAGGACCTGGGAATGGGGTACAAGTGCCCCACCTCTGTGACCATCTCTCCCTCCCTGTGCCATTTGGGTTTTTATGGCCTTTATTCACTTCATTAACTGGTTTGTTCACTCATCGGCGTGTGCAGCGTGCCTTGATGCTGGGGCAAAGACCTGGACACACGGCAAAGAACTTGAGATGTGGGCCAGGTTCTTGGCACGAATGTGCTGGAAAATAGGTCAGCAGCATAGCACAAGAAACCCTATCAGCTCCACTCACATCAGCAGCCAGCCCTGGGTGAGGACGGGCTGTGGCACCCCAACTCCATTCTCCCACAGGGGCTGTGCTGGGTTGAGAACCAGGTGTTGCTATCCCATGGGCTGGCTCTCCTGGGCATCAGAAACACCCGGCACCTCTGCCCTGGCCTGGCTGATTCTGGGGCTGCTCAGCCACCCAGCTTGTGGCTCAGTCGGGCTGCCAGGCACCTACCCCATGCCTGCCTGTGAGATCACTACTTTGCTTCGGACCCCAGGAAGAGATTTGTCCCTTTGCCCTCCAAGGTACCAGACTGATCCATCATTAACTGTGACTGTGGCGTAGGGCTGCGGCTTCACTCATTCTGCAGACAGTCACAGTGCACCTGCTGTGCACTAGGACAAGCCTGGGTCCTGGAGCTCACACTGCTCACACCCAGCCCTGGCATCTGAGCCTGGTGCCTGGAGGTCAACCTATGTTTTCATAGAGGATTTTTTTAAATTGAGAAATAATTCACATCATAAAATCCATCCTTTTGCCGTGTACAATTCAGTGTTGGTAATATACACGTGGCCCCAACTTATAATGATTCAACCTCGAACTTTCGACTATGGCAGCGCCAGAGCGATACGCGTTGAAAAACCGCACTTTGTTTTCTTCTTTTCCCCGACTAGCGATGCGATGCCCTCGCCCTCCCGCGATCTGAGCATGGTTAAGATCGGCTGGGCTAAGCTACGATGCCCAGTAGGTGAGGCGTATTAAATGCATTTTTGACTTATGATACTTTCAACTTACTGGAATGTAACCCCGTCGTAAGTCGAGGAGCATCTGTGTTCACAAAGTTGCGCAATCATCACCATCATCTAATTTAGAATATTTCCATCCCCCAAAAAGAAACCCTGTGCCTGTCAGCAGTCACTCCCCATTCCAAACCTAGCCCCTGGCTACTGCCAGTCTACTTCCTGTCCTAATTTGCTGTCTCCCCTCTATAGAGCTGCCTATTCTGGGCATCCGGATAAATGGGATCATGGCGTATGGCCCTTCGTGACTGGCTTCTGCCACTCGCCGTAATGTTTTCGTGGTCCGCGCATGTTGTGGCATGTGTCCGTGCTGCGTGCTTTTCATGGCAGGGTAGTTTTCCATCGTCTGGATGGACATTTGGGTTTGATTCCACTTCTACCTACAGTAGTGCCGTGGTGAACACTCTCGTGTGCAAGTGCTGACGTGGACGTGTGCTTTCCACTCTTTGGGTTAAGCGTAGGAGTGGAATTGTTGCCTCGTGTGGCGACTCTACGTTTCATAGTCTGAGGAGCAGTGGGTGCACCTGCCTTGAGCACTCAGCCCGGACACAGCCACACACGGCACCACGGCACGCCATCCTCAGGGCTCAGGGCCCCTGTGTCCCTGCATCTGCATTGGCATTTTGACTCAATCTCCCGTTTCCATTACATTCTGCTGGCCGAAAGACCAGTATCAGAAGCTACATCTTCTACTTTTTGATGGAAGAAGCTACGTCTTCTACTTTTTCTGCCCCCCCACAGCTTCACCACAGGCCAGGGCAACGGCATTTATAAAGACCGGGCCACTGCCAAAGGGGTATGGAAAAGAATCAAAGCCTAGACACATACTGCATCCTGTGGACTGTGACACCTAGTTGCTGTGCTGTTTCAGGGATGTTGGAATTTGATAGAATGTGCTTGCAGTACACAGGCCACTGTGCCTGTGGGGGTCTGTCTCGGGGCTGTCCAAGGCCCCTGGGCTCCAGGATTTGTAGCGGAGTGCCCCTCCCCACTCCGGGGAAGGGGTGTGCTGTTTGCCTGTGTCCCCAGGTATGGCACAGCTCCCTCTAACAGGAGAACAGCACCAACTACCCCCGCAACCTACCGACCCCACACAGGGCAGGAACATGTGCTTTGTTCATGCGGTGCCCCCAATGCTCAGGAAATTTTTTTTGGATGGATGGATGAATGAATGCCTTCTTGTCAAGATGAGGGGCCCCACCCAGTGACACAGGGACAGGGTGCTGTGAGCAGAGACCCCGCCTCTATTCCCATCTTCAGAAATCCCCTTCCACCTGGGTCGGGCCGGGAACATACTCCTGCTCCCCTGTGAGCGTGGGGTCAGGGTCTCTCCTCCCTCCTCTGGCCCCTGCTCTCAGCCATGTGCCATGACCAGGAACAGAGGCTGGCGGGCAGTGGCTGCGAGTTCAGACCCCATTGTCCCCTGTGCTGCGTGCCTGGGACAAGCTGAGCCACTAAGTGCTACGTCTCTAAAGCACAACACTCAGCGTCCCTCCCCCATAGCTGCTTGTGACGTTAGCTGAACAATAGTGGTGGGGCTGTGCCTGGCACAGAGCCACCGTCACTACTACTGTTATGACCCCAGAGTCACCTGCTCTATTTGAATTCTCTAGATAGATGGCAGCACCTGCCATGAGCACCCAGCCCGGACACAGTCACCCACCACCACAGGCTGTGTGTGTAGAAGTGTCTTAGAATTGTGGCCACAGCACAGGCCAGCAAGACGCGAGCACACTCCCGCACACCTGTGCCACCTCCCATTGAAGAGACAAAGTGTCCTGCAGAGCGAAGGCCCCCCAGGGACTTCCTGGATCCTGGTCAGGGATTCTCAGATGTTGGGCTGAGGTTCCAGGCAGAGGTCCCTGCTAACCCAGCTCACAGCAGGGTCATGTCTCTAGTGGCCTCTGGGCCAGGAGGTGTCCTTGCCAGGCTGGTAGGACAGGACAGGAGTGGGTGTAACTCTACCCTCCCAGGATGCTCAGAAGCCACACTCCGGCAGAGGCGGGAACCGGATCCCCTGAGTCCCGTCCAGCCTGGCCAGCCCCAGGCTCCATGTGATGACACAGCGCGGCGCAAAGCTTGACGGGCCGCCAGTCAGCAGGTCCGCCTTCCCCTGGCCACACTTCCTCTGTGTGTGGGGGGCGAGGGGAGTGGGGTGCCCTCCTGGAGAAGACCAGGATGGCCTTGCTGGCTCTGCAGTTCGGGGTTGATGCCCACTTCCCACTGAGCTGGGGATCCTCCAGACCCACCCGTCCCACGTGGCGGCATCCAGGCTGCTGGCTACACTGTTGGGGAGGACAGTCCTGCCCCTCGCAGGCAGCTGCTGGCACTGGGGGCCCCAGCTGGGCCCCCCTCAGCCCACCATTCCAGGCAGCTGCTCCAGGGGCTCTGTCTGCGCCCAGCTCTCGGCACTCAGCTGGCAGACTGGGAGCAAGCTCTGCAGGGCACAAGTTTGTACCACGCACCTGCTCCATGGGGTCCCAGGAGAGGGTGGCAGCAGAGCCACAGTGGGGTCATGGGAGCCAAGGGTCCCAGTTACCTCAGGGGCATGTGGGCAGGCTCTGGAACATTCTGCAGGAACTGGTAGGGAGTGTGGGTGGAGGGGTGTGAAGTGAGAGCAGCAGCAGGTGAGATTGGTGGCCCTCGGGCCAGCGGTCCCACCTTTGGGTGGCAGTCTCCACCAAGCAGATCCCCAGGGGACCACCTGCCCTGGTCTGACAAAAAAAACTTAAATATTAAAAAAAATGAACAATTACATTTTTCAAAGAAAAATTGCATAGAAAAAAACCCCTGGAGGAACATTGTCCCAGTCATGAGGTGTAGCTGGGGTCAAGAGGGTCTGCTGCTTCCCTGTTCTGTAACTGTCACCATTGGGACGGACCCTGCTGACAGGTGTGTAAAAGCAGTCAGTCTACGAAGGACAGGTAGGTGAGCAGGGACCGGTGAGGAAGTCCCCACCAGACCTTCATGGCTTGTGTTCGTTCAAGCTCAAGTACTCAGGGCTGGGGTCCGGAGGTCATTCATCCCCTCTTTGGCCACAGTAGGAGGCAGTCATCCTCGGGGGAAGGCCAGCCCCCTCAGAGGAACCCCCTGCCCCATCCCGGATCCTGGCCCGAGGTAACCCCAAGGACCACTGCCAGCACCTAAAAGGAGGGCTTAGGAGTCAACTTCTCAAGTCCTCGCCACCGTGTCCTGGAGGGGGTGGGACCCCTGTCCCTCCTGGGGGAGAGCCCCAGCTTCTCCTCTGGGGGGGTGGAACCCCCATGTCTCCTCCCAAGTAATGCATTCTGTCTTTCGTAGAAATAATTAAGGAGGTTGAGGTGCCACAGGCTACCCTGAGCACCCCGGCCCAGGGGACAGGAGACAGCTGCCACTCGCCCGTGGCCGAGGAGGAGGTGGGCATCTCAGGACCGGCGCCAGGGCTCCTGCAGGTGACAGAAAGGAGGCGTAAGTACAGCTGACGTGCCTGGCATGCTCCACGGGACCTGGGCTCCCTGGGAAGTGGGGGGCAGCGTCCACATACTGTCCAGACACTCCATGGGGTGTGGTGGGCATCGAACTCTTAAGGCTTGGCCCACTGGGCCTTGGTTGTACCATGTGTAAAGTGGGGGACCCCAGAAAGTGTTCAGTCTGAAGTGTGGGGAGCAGAGTTGGGGTCTGGCTGCCTCATCTTCCTGGGGCCGTGCCAGGCTCTACCCAGAGATCTGGTTCTTCCCTGGGCTGTGTGGGGGGCCGCATGGGGGGGCGGCATGGGGGGGGCCTGCGCCGATGACAAGCCCCCGCCCCCAGAGCCCCTGAGCAGCGTCTCCTCCCTGGAGGTGCACTTTGACCTCCTGGACCTCACCGAGCTGACAGACATGTCCGACCAGGAGCTGGCCGAGGTCTTCGCAGACTCCGACGATGAGAACACGGCCGGTGACTCGCCAGCAGGTGGGGCTGGCGCTGGGGTGCGGGGGGCGGTGCGGGCAGGTCCTGGGGTCAGGACCACCGGACCCTGCAAACCCCTACTGTTAAAAATAATTTTCTCTCGATTGTGTTTAAATGAGACCTGTCGCCAGCGCTCCATTTTCTTCAGCATTTCCACGCTCTGCGTGCCCAGCTTTCAGGGGTCTTCCTCTTACGGCCACCACTGAATTTTGATTTTCAAACGCCAAAGAAAGGCCAAAGCCACAGATCCCCTGAAGGTGGCATTTAGGAAGTGTGAATTTAATCACGAGTTAAGCTAAGCATAGTGGGGTGCCATTCCACCGCCCCGGCCCCTCCCCAGCTCAGCCTGCCTTGGTTTCCCCTTCAGTTCTCAAAGGGGCACTGCCCTTAGTCCAAGACCCCAAAGGCCTCAGAAACGGCAAGGCAGCCAGCAGGGGTGTGTGGGCCCAGTGACATTCCTGGCTCCCCGCTCACACCCGTGCAGGTGGAGTCTGGGGGCGGGCCTGCACAAGGCCACACCCAGGCCCACCTGTCTGCATTGCTGGTGGCCTGGCACTCGCATTTTCTAAGCACCCAGGGGACCGCAATGTGTGGCTGGACCTCGTGGTGGAGGCACCCACAGGCCTAGCCCAGTAGCTACAGGAGACATTCACGGCCCCTGGCCATGCTGAGCCCACCTCCATGTCCCCACCAGGCCTGCACCCACTGCCCCGGGCCGGCTGTCTGAGATCCCCGTCCTGGACACGCACCAGGGCCGGGCAGAACCGCGAGCAGCAGCCCCTCGGCAACTCTGAGCGGCAGCCAGCGACTATGGACACGGTTCTCACTGTGGAGCCGCCCAAGGAGGACTAGGCCGGCCCAGCCAAGGCAGGGGAACCCCACAGTCGTGGCCCAAGGACACTGCCCAGCCCGCATTGCTCGGGTCAGGGCCTCGAGGCACCCCAGCACAAGCACAGCCCAGTGGCCTTAAGTCCAGCTCTCTCCTCATCCCTGGGTCAGGGCTGATACCCCCCAGGGATGGGACGGGAGTGGCCTGGGCCTTGTGGAAACCTCGGTCTGCAGGACCAGTGCTCTCGTGTGTCATAAGATCCCCGAGTGGGTGCCAGGTGAGGGGGGCACTGAGCAGATGACAGCTGCTCTGCAAACCCCCTGGGAGTCTTGGGGTTCTGGCTGTGAATGGCCACGCCGAGTTCCAGACCATGGATGCTCTGCTGTCCAGCCAGTTACGTGGGAGGGGTGTCAGTCCTAAAAAGTGTCACCTTGTTTTCAACCTTGTCCCCTTTCTACCACCCATGGGGCACTGCTAGCACCAGGGCCCCCTCCCCAGGCCCTAAGACCTTGCTTGTCCCGATCCCTGTGAGGCAGCTGGACCCACCCTCCTTGGCTCACACACCACGTGTGGCATAACGGCCACAGCCTGCTAGATGGGTGGGGGGCAGGCGGGGTTCATCTTCTCCCCATCCCTTGCCCATGACACATCTCATAGCCTGTCATGTACATGCATGGATCTGTCTCCAGCTGGCATCCTGGCCTGGGATGGAGTGGCCTAAGAGCCACTAGGGTCATGAGGGGACCTGGTGGCCACCACCTCGGGCCCCCAATTCAGGGGCACCAGGCTCAGCTGCCACAACACTGCTTTTTATGTGCTAAAGGACAGACTAGGCTTCTGTCGACTGCGAGTCCAAGATCAGTTTTAATATAAATGCGTGAGCTTGCTTTTTGTCCTCAAGCCAATCTGCTCCAGCCTGTCCCTCTCTGAACCATTGCTGAGGAAGGCACGTGGGCCCTTCTGCAGAAGCCCGGGGCACGCTGGGCCCCCCATGCATGGTAAGGGCCAGTCTCCGTGGAAATGCAGTTTGCCTCCCATGCTGGGGCCTGGGGGGCTCTGCCTGCCCCTCCACCCGTGATGAGCAGCAACACGAGGGTATTTACCCGGCAGTCAGTAATCTCACTGCAAACTGATCCTGTAAGGGCAGCCGTGTGCACCACCCACCCTACCTGCCCAGGTCTTCCTTCCAATTTCTATCTTTCTTGCTGCAGCTTCCACAGAGCTCAATTATAAAAAGTGGGATTAAAATGTCAGCCATCCTAAGGCCCAACCATGGTCTCTTCTTTTGTAGCTGTCATGAGCTCAGGGGTGCATGCCGGGCGGGGGGTGGTACGGGGCTGGCTGCTCCAGGAGCAAGCTGACACTGTTGTTTTTCCAGCTGAAGCCACTGGGGGCCCCTGTGTGCTGCACTCCGGACTGCTTATTTGGGTCACGTTTCAGGAACAAGTGCCCTGGATCTCAAGTCATTAAAATGAAGCCCCTGCCCCCACAGAAGCCCAGGCTAGATGAGGCGCAGGTGCCGCCTGGACGGCTTCTTCCCAGCCCAGGGTGAGTTCCCAGGAGCTCCAGGCCAAAACCCCAACCACTTTAATCCCCTGTAAAACGAGGGGCCCAGAGACAGGGCAGGGTACCAGCCAGGTGGTGCCTCAAACCTCACATTGAAGATCTTCGGGCAGGTGTCCTCCGTCCATGGGCCCAGGAAATGACTCAAAACTCGTGGAAAGTATCAAGGTGGTGTGATGGCCCCAAGAGATTGAAGGAGTAAAGGGAGGGGCTGAGGATGTGGGGTGCAGGCAGAGGGTGCAGCAGGCAGGGGAAGTCACCAGGGGTGGCAACGGCCAGGTGTTGCCATGGCTGTGCCCAGGGAAGGGCTGCACCCAGCCTCAAAAGGAAGAGACCCCCCCAGGCTCTGGATGCCACGAGTGGGGCCTTCCTGAGATCGAGGGGAGCAGCCCCTTCCAACAGAGGGAGCCCCTAGATAGGACCCTGGCAGGACCCTAGGCGACCACTAGGAGACTGGCTGGTGGAGGCTGCCTTAGAGAGTGAGCCTCTGAAACTTAAAAACACAACAATGCATATTTCACAAACAGTGGAAGTCAAAAGTGCTTGTCTCAAGCTGGAAATGCTATTTTTGAGGAAAATATAACAAATGATCTGGAAAACTTAAGACCAAATCCCAGTCTGGTCTTGGCTGGGCTGAGGGCAGTGGGCATGTGGGGCAGTGAGTAAATGCCCAGAGCAGCATCGGGAGCAAAGGGCTATCCCGGGGTGGAGGGTGGGGTGGGGGGTGACTGGCACCGTCCGCCCCTTGAAGACAATGGCCAATGCCCTCACTGCGGCTCTGAGGCTCCCGGAGGCAGCTGTGCACTGATGAAGGATGCACGGCGACATTCACACTAAACCCCGGGCTCCCAGGGCGCCAATCCTGCCCCAGGACCAAGCAGACAAGGCACTGCATGGAGCTTCCGACCCAGAAGTGTCCTCCTTGTATCTTGCTGCTGCCCTGCACCCGGAGGAGGATCAATAAACGGGTGACAGCAGGACCCCACAGCCCAGAGCAGCCTGCAGGCAGCAGAGGCCTGGCCTCCTGGGGAACACACCCAGGCGCCCCTGGTCGGCGAGGCCCCCACGTGGAAACAGGAGCTGGGAGCTGCTGACGGGCCCACCCCGTCACGTGCAAAGGACTGCCGCACCCAGGTGTGGGGAGGTGGGGGCTGCAGCACCCTCGCCGTGCACAGCTGCGGGAGGTGGCGTTTCCTCCTGACTGACACGCGGCCCTCCAGCAGCCCAAGCGTTCCCGTGAGAGCCTCGCACTTGCCCTTGACAGTGTTTCCCTCCTCTCAGTTCCGCCAGCTCGCCAGACCTCAGGCGAGGCCAGAGCGCCTCTCCCTGGGGTGGTTACAGTGGCCAGCACTTAGGACTGCAACCGAAGTGTCCTACGATAGATGATTAGCTAAAGAAACTGTGGTACATATATACAATGGAATATTACTCAGCCATAAGAAGAGATGAAATACTGTCCTGCTGAGGCACTGTCCCCACCGAGTGCACAGGACTCCCGAGGACACACGGCTCTGCTCTCCAGGCAGCAAGGCAGGAACAGGGTGGGAGGTCGGGTGGGCACCCTCGCGGGCTCTGAGCGCCCTGCTGAAGAATGCGGTTCCAGTTACGTTTTCACCTGCCTTCCGGGATCTGGAAGCCGCTCGCTGGGCCCCGCTCCCGCCCTGGTTCCAGCCCTCCGGCCCCTCGGGTAGGGCCGTGTCCTCCTTCAGGCCCCCGATGCCTTCCACAAGCTCGACGATGGACTTCTCCGCAAAGGGCCGGGGACCCGGCAGCTTTACCTTCTCCAGCAGCCGCTTATCTACCTGCAATTCAGTCCCAGGACAGCGGCCACCACCAAAGGTGAGCCTCAAACTCAAGCCCCATGCTCTATGAGGATGGCCGTGCCCCGCTCACCTTGTCCACTTGCTCCAAAACCAGGTCAGCAGGCCCAGAGTCCGCTCACAGGCGGAGCCCAGGAGCTGGGTGGCGGCCTCGTTGTGCGGCTTCTTCACCGGCACCTCGCCGGGTTGGGAGGAAGCTGAAAGACACCTGGCCCAGCTTCTCACACCCCCACATGGCACAGTCTGCACACGCACAAGCAGCTGAAGGCGAGGCTGGCTGGACTCGGCCCGTCAGCGCCCCCACCCCTGCGTCACTGCCCTGTACCTGGGCATGGGCACTCCGCATGACTTCCCTCAGATCGTCCTGGGCTCCTGCGCTCGACCACCCTGTCCCCAGCAGGGCGCAGTGTGCCAGCACTGCTCTCTGGGCCAGGCCCAGCGTCCAGCTGGGGGGCAACAGACACCTGCGGGCACAGCCCACGTGGAGGCCCTGCCCCCTGCAGGTGCTGCCCGGACGTTTCCCTGACCAATCTGGCCTCGCTGTAAGCACTGGCCTTCCTACAAGAGCGTGGGAGGAAAGGTGACCCCTGGGCCCTGTCCCCAACCAGGGACCACCCAAGGACCAACACGGAACCTCTGTCCCGAGAGGTTCTAGGGGCCATGCTGCCAGGTGCAAAGCTTAGGAGAGAGGCTTGTTGAACTTCACATCTCTAGGGTGTCAGGTGGCCAGTGTCCAGACCGCACCTGGAACCAGCATCCGCCTTTCTGCCTATCCACCCACCAAGGAATCCTCTGACAAATTCTATACCATTACATTCCTTGAAAAGTAAAGGCTCGCTACCTTGAGTATATCATTCCCACGTGACCTACACAGGCTACACAGACGCCCACAGGTGGACACTCAGGCCTGGAAGCCAAGGGTTGGGCTGGGAGGAGAGGTGGCCCTGCCAGACACGCAGGGACACAGAGGGGATGAGACTGACCCTCAGCAAGGGGGTCCACATGCTCCAGGAGCTAGCCCACCACAGGCGCCTGGCCTCCTGGTAGGCCACCGCTGTCCTCTCACTTGGCTGCAAGACCTGAGTCGTCTTCTCAAGGCGGCCAAGTCAAACTCCAGGGCGAGTAAGAGGCACAGGAAGGACGGGCAGCGAGCAAGTGCACGCCCAGCGCCTGCCTTCCGTTCAGGGCATGCTGGGGGCCGGTCCGGCCGGACCCATGGCCTGTCTGCTCCATACTCCTCAGGTCCAGCTTGGTGCCTGTCCCCCCACGCCCGGCACTGTGCTGTGTCTGCTCTGCCGGATCCCACCTCCCACTGCGTTTGGGGGCCTGTTTTCAGCCGGCGGGCCTAGCTACTTTCTGTGGCCTGGCTAGAAGTAATGCTGGGAGCGTGGGGAGACAAGGAGTGATTCTCAGTGCCCTCCTATGCAAGTGACAGGACAGAAAGAGACAGAAAACTGGTGAGCCCAGCTTTCTCACTGGCCAGCAAGCCAGAGCTACCAGGACACCCTCTAGAAGCTGTGGTGCGGCCTCGGGCTACATGACACTCTGCGTGCTTCTCTAAACGTGACATGTCAGCGTCAGCTGCACTAAGACAAAGCAGGCCACCAACCTGCCTCTGGTGCTTCTCACAGCCCTGGGCCTGGACCATGAAGCACAGCTGCTGGCCATGTGGACACCTCCCTGATCTCTATCCCGGGAGACCCCTGCCCAACTGACTACAGCTCCCTAAGCGGCCAAGCTAAAGATGGGGAGCCAGGCGGCGAGTCCTCGCAGGCACATGCACCAGCAGCACCCTCTAACCATGCACTGGCCGGGCAGGAAGCACCCAAACTGGGTCTAATCCAGCGCCCTGGGCCCATCTCTGAGTCTCGACGCAGCTCTAGAAGGTGCACGAAGGCGGCTGGCAGACCCCAAGTCCGAAATGTTGCTTTGGAAAACCGTCCGCGATTCCCGTGTGCTAAAGCGAACTGGGGCCCGGGGTTACAAGCTCCCTGCAGCCCACACAGCGTCTGCTCTGCTTCCTGAATGCAAAGCTCGGCCTCGCGGGCCCTCAGATGTGCAGAAACGCAGGTTTGTTCCCAAGCACCCCAAAAACTTCACCAAGCAACTTCCTTCTGAGTTTCCCTTTCGTTGCCTTCACTGAGACATCGAAACTGGAAAGACGTGGAAAAAGTCCTGCAGTGACCCAGAAATGAGACCTAAGCGCGGCTCAATACGGAACGTGGAAAAGTGGGGAGCCCTGGCACCCGCGACCTCACACACCCTGTCCCCTGGTTCCCTACAGTGGGCGAGACACTGAGGAGGCCACCCAGGGTCCTGCAAACCGTATGCTGCCCATGAGGGTAGAGACAGATGGGTCCCTCTGGGTGGCTTTGAGCACAGCCACCGGAAAGCTGCCACCAGTTTCACCCGCAGACCCAGCTGCTGAGAGCGGACCCCTGGACGCCTTGAACTGGGGAGAGGATTCGCTGCCTCTCCAGTTCGAGGTGGGCTTCCTCATGGCTGCAATTACAGGTGTGAGGGGTCAGGGACCTGGCCTGAAGTGTAAGCTTGCGGCCTTCATTTAGCTGCTTAAATGTCCCATTAAAAAGTTATTCAAACGAGAACTAAATTTGCTGCAGAAATGCATAAAGAATTTTTATAGTTACAGCTGTCAAAAAAAAAAACTTGTTTCTTGCCTGAGGCCATTTTGGTCATGGAAACTACTGCACCCTCAAAAACAAACATAATTCTAAGGTTAAAATCATGTGACACTTAAAAACCAAAGGATACTATGATTTATCTTTGATCGGCCAAGGTTAGTGCTTTTGTCAGGCCAGGGAAAGCAAACACCTTTCTAGACTTTGTATTTTTGTCTCACAGAGGAAAATGACAGTCTTACCATAAGCTACTAACAATACTTAACAACAGTTAAGGACAGAACTAGAGACAATTTAGGATTTTCACTACTATAGGTCAGAAGCCATCACAGCAAAAACTCACACATTAAAAGCTACCATACTAAAAAATCCTAAACACACTCACTATCCCAGGAGTAACTGTAAAAATCCCAGCATAACCAAAGATGGGATCGTCCCCAGCATGTTACTATGGTGAAACTGGACCCATGGGTCACAGTGCTTCCTCCTTCAGCCGTGCCGCCTTTCCTGGGGAGACAGGCTCCTCCCTGCAGTAACGGCGTTCCCCAGCGAGTGTTACCTCGCTAATCAGCCAACAGGGAAGCTCAGAAAGGAGATGCCGCCGGTGGTGGTGAGGAGCCACCTGGGACTTCTGTGCCATGATCGAAAGGTCCCTGTCGCAGTAAGCCCCACACAACGGGGCCAGAAGCCACTGTGGGAGACATAACGACACTATAAACATGTCACAAAGGCATGCTACCGTAACAGGAGTTCTAGACAAAGGAGCACAGAAGGTGGTGGTTTCTGGGCACTAGCTGGGTGCCATCCCCTCTGCAGAGGTGGAAAGCAGAAGTCCAGAGAGGCAAGAGCCTGAAGTAAGAAGAAAGGGGCCTAGAGGTGAATGATGAGGACTCTGGGGCCCAGACCTCCCAGGGTTTCTCCAGTATCACCAAAAGACAGCGGTGCCGGTGGCACGACAGAAGTCACTGGGTGGCCTATGGCCGTAAGTGTACCAAGTACACCCCTTCCCTCCAACACTTGATAAAACGTCCCATTCCTTTATCTTAGTTCAGCTTTAGTTGTCTTCTGACTTGATCGGGAACCAACCACATCGAGTCAGATGCAGCTCTCGGAGACTCAGGTCTACCAACCGTCCTCACCTTGGTCTGGGTAAGCTTTTTAAATTGGTCTTTGCATCTGCGAAGCCAAGACATGAGGCTGGGCAGAGCAAGGTCTTTCTTCAACAGGCCAAGTACCACTGTTCTTTCTTTCCAGTCGTTTCCAGTCAGACCACAAATAAGGCGTCCCTGGTCTGTGCCTGATTCACACAGGTGCAGCCCCGCCAGGCACTTGCTACTCAGTGTGCTGGTGAGCTCCTAATCAATCCCTACTTCCTTCAGGAGCTAACTATCCCATGAAAAATAACGTGGCATTTACCCTGTTATTCCATTTTCTTCATACCTCATATAACCACCTAACGTGCCATATACTTTGTTGTCCGGTTCTCCTCCTTGTGTGGCAGGGACAGTGTAGGAAGCTCACTGAATGAAAAAAAAAAAAAACTTAATAGAAACCTCGAGGGCTTCAGCTTCCGGTGATGAGTGCTGACTACATCTCTTCATTATAAACCACACTATACCTGCCTCTCCAGCCTTTGCATGCTGCCCTCGAAAGAGAGCAGCCCACGAGGCAGAGCTCCTGCCGAGTCTGTTCACTGTGATGCAGTTCCCTGGCCAGTAGATTCTCAACAGATGAATGACTCAGGCTGGGAAAAAACTCAAAGATCATCCAACTTCCTCCATTCAGAACCAACCACTGAGGTCTATGAAAGTTGTTACACATGACACACCTGTGCTGCACACTGTACCAGTCAAGTACTGACTTCCACTATGTGTCAACAACCAGAACAGCCCTCTGCAATGGTAAGATGCGACATGGCCACAGGGGAAGGGCTCTGTTTTTACAGATGTTTTTAGAACAACTTATAACTGACATGCACTGTCTTCAAAAAGAATAGATATGAGAGGGGAAAGTTCACTCCTGAAAGCGTAACAGACACAACTCCATGGAATCAATCAATCTTCCCCTTTCGCTGCCATCTGAAACCAAGACACCTTGAATCAAAATCCAAAAACTCCACGATGGTGTGTCAGAAAAAAAAAAATCAATGTGATCACTAGCCCCTGGAATGTATTAGCACAAAAATAAAGCAACCTTACAATATGGACTATTTCATTGTATCTACCCCGGGGGAAGGCGTACTACACGGGAGCATTTAAAAGTGAAGGCACTGGGGCGGGACGGTCCCAAGCCGCAAGGACAGCCGCTGACCAGCTTCGGTCTTGTTTCCTCTTCTATAAAACACGGTCACAGCTGTGCAAGACAGATGTGAGACTTAAATGAGAGTCCGTGTAAAGTTCTCAGCGCGGAAGCCGTCAAGCAGTATTAACTTATCGGAGTGACAGAGCTGGGCTCAACGAATGATTTTTATTAAAAACAGGTAACAGTTTGCAAAACTCTTTCACGTCCATTATCACATGCGGTTCACAGAGCAACTCTGCGAGGTAGAGTCAGAATGTCACCGCTGAGCACAGGAAGAAGCGGGCTCGCAATCGGAGCGAGGCGCCCGAGAAGACGCGCGGTAGGTTCGCGGTGGGGCGGGCCTCGAACGCACCACGCACCACGGGGCTCTTCGCGGGGAAAGGAGGCGGGAGCGCTCGTCCGACATCCCGAAGGAAGCGGCCGCGGGAACTGCTGAAGAGGGGGGCCGGCGCCGCGGGGAGAGCAGGCGCTCGGGGCGCGGAGGACATGCGCCGGCGC